AAAAGGGAGCGTGCCAGAGAGAGAGAGAGAGGAGGGAAAAGGACAGAAGAGAAAGAGGTATCTTCCATCCGCTGGTTCACTCCTGAAATGCCAGCAACAGCCAGCGATGGGCCGGGCTGAAGCCAGGAAAACCATCAGGGTTTCCCACACCGGTAGCAGGAACCCAAGCACTTGGGTCATTGTCTCTGCTGTCCAGGATGCACATTAGCAAGAAGCTGGACCTAAAGCAGAAGTGGGACTGGCTCACTGGTGCTCAGATATTGGATGTGTGGGTTCCAAGCGGCAGCTTAACTTGCTGGGCACTCCCACCCATTTTTAAAGTAAAACATGAGAGATCATTAAGAATTACAAGTCATCAAGAGTTACTCCAGGGCCAGTACTGTGGCACAGTGAGCTAAGCTGCTGCCTATCCTGCTACCATCCCATGGCAGAGTGCCAGTTTGAGTCCTGGCCATTCTACTTCCAGTCTAGCTCCCTGCTACTGTGCCTGAAAATTTAGCAGAAGATGGCTTAGGTATTCGGGCTCCTGGCTTCAGCCTGGCCCAGCTCTTGCCATGGAGGCCACTTGGGGAGTGAACACAGAGGATCTTTCTTTTTTTTTTTGACAGGCAGAGTGGACAGTGAGAGAGAGAGACAGAGAGAGAAAGGTCTTCCTTTGCCGTTGGTTCACCCTCCAATGGCCGCCGCTGCAGCCGGCGCACCGCGCTGATCCGATGGCAGGAGCCAGGATCCAGGTGCTTTTTCCTGGTCTCCCATGGGGTGCAGGGCCCAAGCACCTGGGCCATCCTCCACTGCACTCCCTGGCCACAGTAGAGAGCTGGCCTGGAAGAGGGGCAACCGGGACAGAATCCGGCGCCCCGACTGGGACTAGAACCTGGTGTGCCGGCGCCGCAAGGTGGAGGATTAGCCTATTGAGCCACGGCGCCGGCAACAGAGGATCTTTCTTCCACTGGTTCACTCCCTAGATGGCCACAACGGCCAGCACAAGGCCAGGCTGAAGCGGGGAGCTTCATCTGGGTCTACCACGTGGGTGGCAGGTGCCCAAACACTTGGGCCATCTTCAATTGCTCTTCCCAGGCCATGAGCAGGGGGCTGGAGGGGGAGTAGCCAGGTCATGAACTGGCGCCCATATGGGATGTCAGGATGCCAGCATCACATGCAGCAGCTTTACCTGCTATGCCACAATGCCAGCTCTAATAAATAAATACTTTTTAAAAAAATGTTACTTCAGCCACTTTCCTCCAGGAAAATTAGCACAATATTGCTTTTATAGTAAACTTGATGTTTCACACTACTTCACCTTACTTTTTCTTTAAGGTTTATTTTACTTATTTGAAAGTCAGAGTTAGAGAGAGGTAGAGCCAGAGAGAGAGAGAGATCTTCCATCCACTGGTTCACTCCCCACATGGCCGCAACGGCCAGAGCTGAGCTGATCTGAAGCCAGGAGCTTCTTCTGGGTCTCCCAGGGGGGTGCTGGGACCCAAGGACTCGGGCCATCTTCTACTGCTTTCCCAGGCCATAGCAGAGAGCTGGAATGGAAGTGGAGCAGCCAGGTGTTGAAGCGACACCCCTGTGGGAATGCCAGCACTGCAGGCCAGGGCTGTACCAGCGCCGGTCCCTCACCTTAATCTTTTAATCCTCTTCCACTATACTAGTGCTGGTATTGTTTTCCTTCCTCCAAAAGTCATTTCTTCTGTTCAAATCCTACTTGGTTTGTAAACAACTTGGCTCCAGATTTTACATTGGCAAGAATTAAAAATAAAATGGACAAACCCAGGTGTAACAGGATAGCCTTTAGCATGGTGAACCCTCTCACAGGTGACATAAAATGAACAGGCTTCAGTTCTGAGGGTACTGTCAGTGGGAAAACAGCAGGAGACACAATCAGCAGGTCTGGGTTCTAAAGCAGTTGGAACTCAAGAGGCAAAGTCTGGGAGAGCAGGGCACACAGAGAATTAAGCCTCCAATTTGCATATAAACCGTCCTCCATTAAGTCTCTGGCTGACTCCTAAACTGAGGCTACAAAAAACCCAACAGCAAACTGCAGCGGGGAGGCCCAAGAGCTAAGAGATTATATAACCGAGACCAGCAAACCTACACTGTATAACGCTAAAGGAAATTCTCTGAAGTGGAACAGATGGCAATCTGGCAGAAAAGCTGGGGGAAAAAAGGTAAATTGTCTTTATTCGTAGCAACACGACTGTGTACGAAGCCCCAAGGAATCTTCCCTAAGCCACGTAAAACAAGCTACTGGAGCACAGCAGTCCCTCCTTCACCCCGTTTGCTTTCTGTGGTTTCAGTTTCCTGGGATCAGTGAAGGTCCAAAAATTCTAAGTGGAAAACTGCAGAAATAAAGAATTCCTTAAGCTTTAAATTGTCCAAGGCTCTGAGTAGCAAGGTGAGGGCTCACCTGCTGCAGGGCCTGTTTCCCACCTTGGCCATGGGCTGTCCACCTTATCTACAATGTATAAGCTAATTCCCTAACAGTGACCTGCTATTTTACCGAAACGACTAGCGCCTGTGTTCAAGCAACCCTTACTTACTAGGGCCACAAAAGTAACGATGCTGGCAATTCAGACATGCCATGGAGAAGCCAAAAAGCTGCTTCCTTTCAGCGAAACATGGCCAGCTTGGTACTACCTCAGTTTTCAGGTATCCTGACAGTCTTGGATAAAGGGGACTACTGTAATTTAGGATTCTAGGACAATACAAGGTTGACAGTTTCTTCTCTCATCACCTCTCTTCAATACTATACTAGAGGTTCAAGTTCAGGTCAACAAAACAAGAAAAAATAGAGGCAAAACTCATTATTCATAGATGACAGAACTGTGCACAGAGAAAATCCAAAAGAATCTCCAAATTATTAAGTAAACTTAGCAAGGTTAATATTCAAAAACCAAGGGGCCAGCATTGTGGCATAAGAGATTAAGCTGCAGCCTGCAACCCATATAGGTTCTGGCTGACCCACTTCCAAACCAGCTCCCTGCTATGTCCCTAGGAAAACATCAGAGGATGGCTCAAATGCTTGGGATCTACAACCACGTGGAAGACCAAGATGAATCTCCTGGCTCTGGCCTACTCCAGCCCCAGCCATCGTGGCCATTTGGGGAGTGAACTAGCAGACAGAAGATAGGTATTCTCTCTCTCTCTCTGTAACTCGACCTTTCAAATAAATTAAAAAAAAAAAAAAAAACAACTTAAAAAAAAATTCCAATATCAATTATCGTCCTTTGCATTAGTACAATTAAAAAATAAAAACAACCACTTTGGCATCATAAACATTGAATATAGGAATAAATCTAATGAAAGAGATCAAGACCTCTATATTGAAAACAAAACATTCCTAAGAGAAATTAAAGCAAATCGCAAATCTAAATAAATGGGATGATACACTATGCCCACTGATTGAAAGGTTCAATTTTAAGTCAGTTGTCCCTCAAATCAAGCTGTGGATAAAAACCCCAGCAGAGGGTCAGCATTGTGGTGTAGCAGGTAAACACCAGCATCCATATGGGTGTCAGTTCAAGGCTTGGCTGCTCTACTTCCAATCCAGCTCCTTGCTAATGTGCCCGGGAAAGCATCAGAAGATGGCCCAAATGCTTGGACCTCTGCACCCATGCAGGAGATCCAGATGAAGCTCCTGGCTCCTGGCTTTGGCCAGGCCCAGGCCCAGCCCTTGCCCATTGTGGCCAACTGGGGAGTGAACCAGCAGATGGAAGATCTCTCTCTCCTCTTCTCTTTGTAACTCTGCCTTTCAAATAAATAAAAAAACAACAAACAAACAAACCACCCAGCAGGGTTTTTTTGTGGAATCTGCAAGATATTTCTAACGTATGGAGAATGTAGACAGAATCTACAATAGTTAAGATAATTTGAGGGGCCACCACTGTGGTGTAGCGGGTAAAGCTGCTCCCTGCAGTGCTGGCATCCCATATGGGCACTGGTTCGAGTCCCGGCTGCTTCACTTCCCATCCAGCTCTCTGCTGTGGCCTGGGAAAGCAGTAGAAGATGGCTCAAGTCTTTGGCCCCTGCACCTGCATGGGAAGACCCGGAGGAAGCTACTGGCTCCTGGCTTTGGATCAGTGCAGCTCTGGCCGTTGCAGCCAATTGGGGAGTGAACCAGTGGATGGAAGACCTCCCTCCCTCCCTCCCTCCCTCTCTCTCTCTCTCTCTCTCTCTGACTCCTCTCTCTGTGTAACTTTCTCTCTGACTTTCAAATAAAAATAAATAAATCTTAAAAAAAAAATAAAGATAACTTGAAAGACAAAAGTTGGTTTTTTTAAAGTTACAGTATTAAAGATAATGTAGTTTGGATACAAGCAAACACAAAATGAGTAAATGAAACAGTGCAGAAGGGGATACATTCCTGTCTTCTTTGCATAACACCCATTCCGTCATGCATTACAATTTGTTTTATTCAGTTAAGTTCTGCAAGCTCATTTATGGTTTGATAGGAAAGGTGGAGGCAGAAAGCTAACTGCTTTTTAAACCAAATTAAAATGACCACATTTCGTTCTGCAGGGAATGGGGAGCCATCATTCATGAAGTGCTTCCCGCAAAAGCAGGATTTCCTCACCCTCATAAGGCTCCCATCAGCAAGTTGCAATTGCAACAATGTACGCATATACAAGACAGGAGGCAGAACAAAGGGACCAGAAGATGCTCAAAGAAGTCAACTGAAAGGGAAAATCTGAACTAGCTTTTAAAGTCGGTGTCTGCCAAGCAATGAAGGAATTCCTGGTGTAAGGACGTCGTGTACAAGAGTACAACAGGGATCTTGAGCAGCGAAGCTCTTGATGAACATAAAAAGCAGGCGTGGCTGGGGGAAGGAAATTATGCTGGGGAGGTAGTTATGCGTCCAATCAGGAGGGTCCCGATTCAACATCAAACACTTTGAACTAATCAGAGGCTTTCCAACTTTGGGGTTCAGCAAACATTTCATTCCTATTTCAATTTTAACAAATATTAGGAAACTAATGAAACCGTGAGACACACTTAACTGTGTTATATACCAAGTGCTAAGAATTTTGGAGCCAGGCTGACACTGTGGTGTAGAAGGTTAAGCCTCCGTCTGTAGTGCTGACATCCCATGTGGGTGCTGGTTCGAGTCCTGGCTGCTCCACTTCTGATCCAGCTCCCTGCTGGTGCACCTGGGAAAGCAGCAGAAGATGGCCCAAGCACTTGGGCCTCTGCACCCACGTGGGAGACCTGGAGGAAGCTCCTGGTTCCTGGCTTCGGCCATCTGGGGAGTGAACCAGTGGATGGAAGCTCTCTCTCCCTTTCTCTCTCTGTATCTCTGCCTTCCAAATAAATCGGTAAGTCTTACAGAAAAGTCGTTTGGAGCCCTCCGAAGTGTTCTCCAGTGTCAGATGAACACAAACCCTAGGGAAACAGCTTTTTCTTCCATCTGGAGTAAGGTTTCCGGTCTACACCAATGCTTTTTGGATTTGGGGCTTGTTTACGCTCACTCACATAAGGCCTAGAGCAAATTCATTCTTTTGGCAAATGCATCCACTGCTTTAATGCTCCTGCCCCAATCTAAGAGTCCAATGGGCAAAGTTCTGCCATAAAATCCTTGTTGTAACCCGTGGAGCACGCCAGTTGCCGTCAGCCGTTATTAGTGCAGTGCCTCTTAAAGCACGAATTCTCCCCTCGCCTACTTTCAAGCTTCTGATCCCACGTGAGAGTCAGGCTAACACTGCAAACAGCGAGGGGCTGACGAAGCCACTGTCTGCAAACGCCAGTCCAGCTCACCCAGGACAATCCTGTCCCCTAAGGCAAAATCCTGCGCCTCTATCTGCCCTCGACTTCAAACCCGAATTCATCAAGCATCTAACTTTCCTAACGACTATTTCATCTCCCCTGGCTAGGACCCCTCGTACGATTTCATTTGCAAAATACGTTTGTTTTTTCTTTAATTTGAAAAAAATCACTGCTCACTGCCAGGAGAGCCACAGGTGTGATTAATGATTGCTTTAGGAACGCAGACGGCGGAGGAAGACCAACGGCTGTAAGCCCGGTGGTCAGCGGGCCAGCGACCCCCGGAGGGCTGGCTGAAGGAGGCGCCAGACACCATCCAGGTCCGGGCTGGCCCCGGGAGCCCGACCCCGACTCCGCGCCCAGAGACCCAGCTCTAGGACCCCTGCGCCACCCGGCGCGTCATCCTCGCTGCGAGGAGCAACTGCCCTTGCCGCCTTCCGGTAACGCGCACAAGCGAAACGGAACCCGCAGCCGCACCAAGAAGAGCCTTACTGATTTCTCTCCCGGACGCTCTCCGCGCGGAGCTTCTCAAAAGACCTCGGATGCAAACGGCCCCAGCTGCCCGGCCCCTTTCCCGCCGTGCTCTGCGGCTGAGCCTGCGCAGTGCGGCCGGCGCGGCGTGGTCCCGTCTGCCCGCGTTGGAAAGGGCGCCCTCGGCGGGGAGGGGTTGGGGCAGGGGCCAAGCGCTCGCCGAGGGTCTGGCCCCGAGGCGGCCTCCAGCGGGCGCCAAATTTGGATCCCGGAAGGCCCAGCAGCGTCGGGGTTGCCTCAGAGCTGTGGGAAGAGCATGTAGATTCCCTGGATTCGAGAGAAGGCTCTACCGCTTCGTGGCTGTAGACTGCTGAGCCGTCTGGCAACTTCTGAGAATTCCCAATTCTCCCTTGAAATCGGGATGGCTGCGAATTTTATGCCTGTGGCACGGGTTTGTGAAGATTAGAAGGGTAATGTTAGTATGAAGTGCTAGGTGCAAAGGGCTTGCCCGCAGAGATGGGGGTCTCTCCCATTTTGGGGAGCTCTTAGTATATTAAATTTAAGATAACCTCAGAGCTGTGATAAAAATTCTAGTATATTTTAAAAATTAGTACTTCGAACACCTACAGAAGTATGGATCAAATAATTGTGCTAGTCCTAAAGTCAGAATAAGATTAGAAATACATAGAGCAAGTTAAAGGATGAACGTACTGCAGCCTTGTCTTTGAACATAAATTCTTGAGATATTCTTTAAGGACTCAATTTGAGGCCCTTTGTGATGACCCCCTAAATACCCTTTGCAGTAAACGTCAACTTTAGACCATTGGTAGATTTTGAATATCATATTAGTAACTGAAGTTCATTTCTCCAAATTTATTTCTACCTTCATAATATTCATTATAATCTGTTTGGATTGCTAGAATTAAAAGAGACCTTATTGATCTCTCCTCTGATAGACACAATTTACCAAAGAGAAAGGACCAGAAGGCAAAACACAATACATAGAAAAATTAATGTTAGACTTTCAATAAATGAGACCTCATCAAAGTTTAAAACTTTTTGTCAAATATAGACACTATTCAGATAATTAAAAGAAAAGCTCCAGACTTGGAGAAAATATTTGAGATCATACATCCAACAAAGGACATGTAATTAGAATATTAAGCATGCCTGCTATGGTTTGAACGTCCCCTGTAAAACTCAGTAGGAATTTGTTATTCTGGGGTCGGGGCTGTGGTGCCGTCAGCAATGCCAGCATCCCAGAGGGGCCTGCCTGCTCCACTTCTGATCCAGCTCTCTGCTGTGGCCTGGGAAAGCAGTAGAAGATGGCCCAAGAAGATGGGCCGCTGCTCCCCCGTGGAAGACTCAGAAGAAGCTCCTAGCTCCTGGTTTGGGTTGGGCGAACTCCCGCTGTTGCGGCCATTTGGAAGGTGAACCAGCAGATGGAAAACCTCTCTCTCTCTGCCTTTTTGTAACTCTGACTTTCAAATAAATAAATAAAAAGATAAATCTTTAGAAAAACAAAAAAGAAATTTGTCATTCTAGCAATATGAAGAGGTAGGACCATTAAGAAGTGATTAGGTCATGAGGGCACCATTGTGAATGGACGCTGTCGTGAGCATCGGTTATCACAGAAGGAGGCGCCTGATGGCAGGGCAAGTTTGGCCTTATTATCCCTCCATCCTCTGTGCTCACGTAGCACTCCACACATATAGACCCTTGAGTTTGGATTTCCCAGCCTCCAGAACTGTAAGCCAAATGCTAGTAAACTTCAGTTGTTTATAATTTTCCCAGTCCACAGTAATCAGAGCAGCAGCAAATGGTCTGAGACAATGCCCAAACCCAACACTAACAAAGCAAACAACCTAATTTAGAAATTGGCAAAGGTCTTGGGCAAAGTCTTCACTGTGAGGATCACAGAGAGTAAATTAGTACGTAAGAAGATGTTGAACATTTTATCCATTGAGGAAATGCAAACCACAACGAGATAATTTGCACAGCAGTTAGAATGGCTACAAGAAAAATACCAAGTACTGGCCCGCTCAAGTGCTACAAGGATGCAGAGCAAGTGCAACTCTCAGACATTGCTGATAGGGATGCATGGTGGAGCAAAAACTGGAAAACAGCTTGCCACTGTCTTACAGTGTTCTCACACATATAATCAACCACATGACCCAATAACAGTCCTACTCATTTCCCATAGAAAAACAAAAATTTACATTCACACAAAAACCTGTATGTGTTTATAGTAGCTCTATTCATAATTGCCCCAAATCACAAATAGCCCAAATACCTTTCAAGGAGTAAATAAACTATGGTATAGCCATACAATGGAATACTGTTCAGCAATACAAAGAACAAATTATTTGAAAAAACATTTATTGAAGGGCCGGCGCTGTGGCATAATGGGTAAAGCTGCCACTTGCAGTGCCAGCATCCCATATAGGTGCTGGTTCGAGTCCTGGCTGCTCCACTTCCCATTCAGCATTCTGCTGTGGCTTGGGAAAGCAGTAGAAGATGGCTCCAGTCCTTGGGCCCCTGCACCCGTGTGGGAAGACCCAGAGGAAGCTCCTGGCTCCTAGCTTCAGATCGGCGCAACTCTGGCTATTGTGGCCAATTGGGGGATTGAACCAATGGATGGAAGAACTCTCTCTCTCTCTCTCTCTCTCTCTCTCTCTCTCTCTTTCTCCCTCTCTCTCTGCCTCTTCTTTCTGTATAACTCTGACTTTCAAATAAATAAATAAATCTTTAAAAAATATTTATTGAGCTCGGTGTTGTGGCGTAGCAGGTAAAGCCATGGCCTGCAATGCTGGTGTCCCATATGGGTGCAGGTTTGTGTCCCAGCTTCTCAACTTTCTGGCTAGCTTCCTGCTCATGGTCTGGGAAAAGCAGTGGAAGATGGCCCACCTGAGGAGACCTGATGAAGCTCCTGGATCCTGGCTTTGGCTTGGCCCAACCCTGGCTGTTGCTGCCACCTGGGGAGTGAACCAGCAGACAGAAGATTCTCTTGCTCTCTCTCTCATCCCTCTCTTTCTCTTTGTAACTCTTTCCAATAAATAAATCTTAAGAAAAAAATAAAATAGTGTGTTTTTATCTACTTGAAAGGCAGAGCAACAGAGAGTGTGGGAGAGAGAGACATCAATCTTCCATCTAATGGTTCCTGTCCCAAATGCCCACAAGAACCAGAGTTGGAGGGCTGGTGCAGTGGGGTAGCAGATAAAACTGCCACCTGCAGTGTTGGCATCCCCAATCGGCACTGATTTGAGTCCTGGCTTCTCCACCCCCAATCCAGCTCTCTGCTGTGGCCTGGGAAAGGAGTAGAAGATGGACCAAGTGCTTGGGTCCCTGCACCCATGTGGGAGACCTGGAGGAACGTCCTGGCTCCTGGCTTTGGATCGGCACAGCTCCAGCCACTGCAGCAATTTAGGGAATGAACTAGTGGGTGGAAGACCTCTCTCTCTCTCTCTCTCTCTCTCTCTCTCTCTGTCTACCTCTGCCTCTCTGTAACTCTGCTTTTCAAATATATAAATAAATCTTTCTAAAAATAGAGTGTATGTTAAAACTTAATGAAAGATAATAAATGTGTTAATTAAAAAAAAAAAAAGAAAGAAAGAACCAGGGTTGGACCAGGCAGAAGCCAAGAGCCAGAAACTCTATCTGGGTCTCCCACATGGGTGGTAGGGGCTCAAGCACTTGAGCCATCATCTGCTGCCTCCCAGGATGCATCGGCAGGAAGCTGGATTGGAAGAGGAGGTGCTGTGGCTTGAAACACTGCTCTGATAAGGGATGCAGCTATCCCAAGTGGTATTTCAATCCATTGTGCCACATGTCCACCCAGGAATGAATTCTTGGTACACAAAAAATTTAGATGACTCTGAAGGGCCTTATGCATCTACCCACTGGTCCCCACCCTATCCATTGATTATAAATCATGACTTGCCTTGTTGGAGTCAGAATCTAGTCCAATCTCTACCCCAGGGGAAGAACTTGCTGCAGCGGCTGGAAGGCCACCACAAAACATACCAAACACCAGAGTAAGGGAAAGGCTTTATTGTCGGGTGGGGGAAGCCCAACAGACTGCCTCCCTGTGCACGAGAGAACAGCAGCCTGAACTAGGTCTTTTTTTTTTTTTTTTTTTTTTTTTTTTTTAACGGAAAGGGCTTATTGCGGAAAACACAACAAACCAGAGGGAAGGGGCGAAGAAGGAAAAGAGGGAGAAGGAGAGCATGAGAGAGACAGAGACAGAAAAATGGAGAGAAAAGAGACAGAGATTGAGAGAGAGACAGAGGAAGAGAGATCAGGAGATGGAGAGAAAGACAGAGCCTTGTGTTCAGGAATAGGTCCTCTCAAAATTTTGCAGGGAAATAGGAGCAGTGAATCCCAGTAGATTGGGGGTGGAGCTGACACCGGTGGTTGGGCCATGTGGCCACCATGCTTCCAGCAATGGCAGCGGGGGCTAGAGCCTAGGGTGGTGTCTGGGGTGTAGATAGCGCCATAGATAAGACTGTGCCATTTTACTAACATTCCCCCCTTTTGTTTTTTAAAAAGTAAGAGTTGTATGGGAGTACATTAGCCCAAAAAGTCCAGGAGGGGTAGAGGGACGATGATCTGTCTTTAGAGCTACTTCCTGCTGACATGGGGTGACGAGGTACTCTGCTGGCATAGGGTGATGTCTCAAGCCA